CAGGCTGGATGGGGCTGGGAGCAACCTGGTCTGGTGGGAGGTGTCCCTGCCCATGGCAGGGGGTTGGAACTAGAGGATCTTTACAGTCCCTTCCAACCCAAACCGTTCGATGATTACGTGATAAATCAACTAAACTCTTTTCAGCCAGTGTCTGAAATAGAATCTCAAATAAATATGTGGGGGAAAAAAAAAGGTAAATAAAACACCACAAGCAAGAAACCACAAAGGCCCCATCATATTCAGTTACAAAAATTTAAGAGATATTAACATTTAAAAAAAATGAATGGCAACTCAACATTTACTGGTTGTTTTCCAGCCATAAAGAACCATCAATCACAGCAGAATGTACTCCACTGAATTAGGTGTTGTAGTACACGACATGAAGCAGAATCCATTAGCCAGTAAGTGGAGACTAATTTCACATTGGTCTTGACATGAGATTCACAATTCCAAGGCTAACAGGCACGTCATGGTGTTACTAACAGCCCTTGCACTTACGAGGTGGGAAAGGCGGTTAACACTGCCATTCAGGCTGGGTATTTTATTAGCCATCAATGTAAACAGACAAAAAAATTGACACAATTAAAAAAAAGAAACTTCCCCCCCCCCAAGATTATAAGCCCTACCCAAGTAAGACGAGCAATATGAATATTTTAATTTCAATGTGTGTGTGTGTGTGGTGGGAGACGAAGTCATATAATTTTTTTTTCACGATAAGCAACCTAACCGCAGAGAAGCCAGGTGGAACACAAAGGCTCTCAAATGGTGCCCACAAGTTGGCTCTTGCCTGCTGCAATCAAGAAATTGCTTTCCTGGACCAAACCCTCCAGCACCCCACCGTTTATAACCCCCGACACCTCTCACCACCGAATACCTGCCCAGTATTTGGTGACAGATCTCTGAAATCACGTTTTGCAGCAAAGCTGGAAGGGAGCAGCCCCCAAAGCTGCAGGCCTGAGTGAAAGGGCAAGCGGAGCTGACGATAAATAGATATGTATTTTTAAAAGTGCGTTACGGGAGGTAGGAGACAGTCACGCCCGCGTGTCAGACAAGGACAGAGGCTGCAAGGACAGATGTGGACACAGAAAATGCCCCAAGCCAGGCAAGGTGCTCCCGGGACGGCCCGGTTTATCCCGGAGACCTCCCCTCCCGGTTCACAGCACGGCTCGGCCCCTCACGGGCCGCCAGCTCCAGCGGCCC